TCGTGGGACGGCGAAAGGACAAAGGAAAACATCTCTGAAATGTAACCGCGCCGGGTGCTCCCCGTGCCTTCCCGTCCCGGGATGATGCTGGCTGTGAGAACAAGACAATTCTCTCCGACCAGAAATAACCCCCTTGCAAAGTCCGCTTCTTCTGGACTTTGTCCAGTTTTGCTGTGAACAGAGGTCAGCTGAAACTCCGCTGAAAGAAAGGCGGCGGTCATGTTTGTCTCTTTCTTTCCCAAACAGCTCAATGACACCCGGCAAGAAGTTACGGGGCCTCGTAGCTGCTACGATCACTCCGATGACCCCTGATGGGTGAGTAGGAACCCCTGTCACAACGTGGCAGCTTGTCAGAGTTGCGCTGCTTACTGTTCCCTTAAAACCCAGTCTCCCTTCTTGCTCGGTTGTAACTGATCAGTTTGGGGTTTGCTTTTAAACCGGATCTCTGATGGGATGGGGAAGCGAGCAGGTTGGTCCCAGTGGCACTGGAGTGGGTTCCCTTCGCCTCTGTGTCCTCCCGCTGCCCCACAGGTCCTGTCGGTCTGGGTTTGGAGAGTTTGGATCCGTCTCGCATCTCTTTTTCTGCCGCTTTTGTAGGTGCAAATGAAGTCGTCGTAAGGTTATGCACGTGGAGTATTGCAGTATTTTCACATTTGTTAAGGCGCATCGCAGTCCTAGCTGAAAAGGGCTCTTGAGAGCTAGAAAATAATTGTTAAAATCTGCAGGCCTTTTAGACTTTTCTTTGCCCTAGCCAACTCGTGCATGCATTCACATGTATGTGTGTGTGCATGGAATTAATCTGAACCTGAAGAAAATACTGCAAGGACTGCACAGTTCTGAAAATAACATCAAATTGAGAGTTGAAATTCAGCCTTCCTCAAAGCGGCGAGGGTAAACAGATGTCCTCCCTACTGCATCTTGATGTTGCAAGACAGAGTTGTTTGGAGTCAGCAAAGGACCCTGAGCTGTGCTGATGGGGGATGTGTCAAGATATGTCTGTGTTTTTGAGGAAGATGGTGGAGGTTTGCTAGTACAGTCTTCTGAAAGTGAGCCTTTACTTTTTGAAAGTATGATAAAGCATGGTACTGTCTCAGGGAACACATTTGCATTGCAGTCACTGCTTCATTCCTTACTTCAAAGGAAACTTATTTCCAATTTCACTTTTATTACTACTCAAATTTATTGCAACGTGGTATTTGGAGAGTGACCTGGGCCCACTGCCTGGAATGCCTGGCCCTGGGGAGACCTGTCTGTGAAAGCAGCTGTGAAATTTTGGGTGATGCGTGAACCCAGTCAAGGTCCCAGAACTGACTTCCAGACTGGAGGGTGGGTCTGTGTGTTTGACAAATGAAAACGATGGTGAAATATTGTACACTGATAAACAAAACGAGTTTGTCCTGCAGAGGAGATAAACCTAGAATTCAGTTTCCCCTCTTTGTCAGGGAAGTCTGTTGCTTTCCTCATCCTTTAGTAAGAGAGAGAGAGAGGTCAAAGTCACATCCAGCAGATGCCATTTCACTGCCTGTGTCCAGCGGTTGCAAGTATAGTTTAACTATTTGCTAGCACTTGCATAAATATCCCTGTGCTCTCAAGAGGACTCTTGTTTCCCTCAACAAAGAGGTTTGAGTGCCTCTCGTTCTCTCATATCTCCCCAAAAAAGTCCTTTGCTGTCATGAGCCTGCAGTAATTACCCATTGAGATAAAAAGTTGGAACAGTGAACTGCTTGTCAGGAAGAAGAGAAACTGGAAGAAAGCATTCAGAACTGAACTGTTACCTGAAATATTAAACAGATGCTGAGGGTATCATACCTTGGGGTAATTTGTGTGTGTACAATTGCAAGGCTTCAAAAACACGTCTTTTTTTGTTTTCTTAATCTCTAAATTTAAGATATCTGTGGGTGGAGACTTACGGTTGCTGAGGCTTCTAAGGCTGCTGCGGTTCCTTTCATTTCAGACAAATTAACCTGTCAGTGATTCGTCAGTATGTGGATTATCTGGTAAGCGAGCAGAACGTGAAGAACGTTTTTGGTAAGTTTTTCTTTGACAGAAACTGTGTTACACCCCTTTTGCCCGGATGGCAACCCTATGATATCTTGCCTGGTGAGAGCTGTAGTGGGAGGGTGTGCAGATGTGTGATCATCCTAGACTTTTATATTCACCAGGGAAGAGCATGCAGGTGATACTTAGGGCATCTGCTTTTGCCGACAGCCCATTCCTGTGTGGGATAAAATAAGCATTGCCTTCACACAGTGACATTTCCAGAGATGAATGGATAATGCTGTCTTGGCAGAGAAGACTCGACTGAATGATTCTCCACTTTCCCTGGGCAAGATACAATCATGTGATTGAAAAACATCAGCTCGGGAGTCCGGGGAATTCAATGGGCTCCTCAAAGCCAAATGGGCTTCTCTAGGAGACCTGTGGTGCGCTGGGTGGTGGCGAGGTGGTCACTGCTCCCATCTCTCTGTTCTGCCTCCGCCTCGGGGAGTGCTGTGGGAGCAGCAGGGATGGCTGGGTAGAGAACATAGCATCTGCTGAGCCACTTCCATTCACAGCCCAGCATAGTTAAGTAAGCTGAATTCAGAGGGAAGATTTTGGTTCAAAGCTTATGTGGAAAGCGGTTTTTGACTGCCAAGATGAAAACCACAGCATGGCAGTGTCTTCAGCTATCCCAGTTGAATCTGGTGTTTGTGACGACTGGGCATGCTGACATCTCGTCATTTTCCAGGGATGCTTTAGCCTAGGTAGGACACATGGTTCTACTCACGACAGAGACACCAGATTTCAGGCCAGGCTGTTTCCCTGGGGCGGAGGGTAGGCGATCACTCTGCCTGGCTGGCTGGGTGTCCCTTTGTGCCCTTGTCATAGCCTGACTCACCTTGCTGGGGGAAGGAGGTAGCGGCTGCTGGGGATGAGGTGCTGGGGGGCAGTTTCCCAGTTTCAGCAGCTCATTCTGCCTCGTCCCTCCCACCACCGCTGGTCCTGAAACACCCAGGTTTCCAACACAAGCATTTAGTGATGATAACACTGGTTATCATCCGCTGATGTGGACCATTGCTGTCTTAAAATGAGTTAGGGGAAAAATATCTCTGTTTTATATCATTGAAAGGGTCAGTTCTTGTCTTCAGTAAAACCAGCGCGTGTATGCCAGGCCTCAGCAAGTGTGGTGTGGTGTGTTGTATTGTGTTGAAACAGTGAACGGCACAACAGGAGAAGGGCTGTCCCTTAGCATCCAGGAGAGGAAACAGTTGGCGGAAGAATGGATGTGCCAAGGAAAAGACAAGTGAGTAGCTGAGAGGGAACAGGGGATTCCAGATCTCGTGTTACAATATAGGCATGCCTCACTGCAAAACCACATCTGCTGATGTTTTTGGGGTTTTGTTTGGAGTATTTTGTTGTTGGGCTTTGTTCCCCAGCTCCTTTACCTTAAATCTGTATTTTTGTTAGTGCCAGTTAGCTGGTGTCCCTTCCCGCTGCTCAGAGAACTTGTAAGAGCCCTTTTCTTTTATATTCTGAGCGTTAGTGGGACAGAAAAGGGCTCTGGGGGAAAAAAAGGGCTGTGCCCTTTGCTTATTGCTGAGAAGAAATAGAATTAAAGAGCAGTCTGCCTATTTATGCCCTGTGAGCATTTCTGAACCTTTTAATATATGAATTAAATTATTTGTTGTGCGAGAAGATGAGGAGTAAAGGGCTCAAGTGTTTCCCTAAAGGTGCAAAGTTGGTGGCAGAAGAAGGGCTTTAACCCAGATCTTCAGCTGTGTATCTGATTGCAGGTCTGCTCTCTCTCTTGTACCTGTCGTAGTCTGATATCACTGCTGCCTTCTCCTTAGCTGCTATGTCAGAGGATGTGGAGAGGAGGAGGTGTTTTGGGTGAGAAGGATAGTGAGCAGAAATAAACTGGTGTGGAGGCTTGCGGTCTGTATGGATATAAAGGAGAAACACAGAAATGGGACTGACGGACTGGAACCTGGGAGACCACCTTGGCAGGAGCAGACAAGCAGTCAAAGGTGCTGTTGTGAGGCTGGACTCTGCTGGTAGCTCTGCAGAGCAGTAGGTTTAGAAAGCAAAGATACGCTTTGATACCATTTCCCTTTCTCAGCTTCCCCTTAAATCCTTCATGTCTTAAATTCCTAATAAAATGCTAAGATTTGTCCCTCCTTGACAGCCTTGCAAATATGATAGCAAGGAGTCACACATGATTCATATTTGCAAATGTGTTTTCATTTTTCCAGCACCAGCAGCTTGCCGCTGTCGTCATTTTCCCTGTTTGTCTGCTTGTCAGGTCAACACAGGTTCCAGTCCCTTTGAGGTTTAATCTAGCTCAGTGAAGTCCTTGTTCTGTGGCTCCCTGGTCTGAAACTATCCATTTTGGCAGTCTGGTATTTTTCACCATCACTGAAATCTCCCCAAACCTTCTGAATTTCTCCTTGTGCAGACTGGATCATGTGATCATTCATGTGGGAGCACTAAGTCTGCCAGAGTCCCAGGAGCTGGTGGGTACATGATATGATGCCTTTTCACTATGTGTGTAGTAAATATAAAGCAGATGTACCTTCAGGAACTTTCCATTCTCTCATTTGTAGGCAAGACACGCAGCAGCCATAGGTGCTAGTGGTATTGCTGTAATAGCCCCCTTCTTCTTCAGACCCACAAACAAAGGTGAGTAGATGTGACTGCCAGACCTAGAATCGTAAAATCACAGAATGGCTTGGGTTGGAAGGGATGTTAGAGGCCATCTATTTCCAACCCCCTGTCCTGGGACCTTGCACTTGGCCTTGTTGAGTCTCACGAGGTGCGCACAGACCCACGTCTCAAGCCTGCCCAGGTCCCTCTGGATGGCATCCCTTCTCTCCAGCGTGTCCACCACACCACACCACACAGCTTGGTGTCGTTGGCAAGCTTGCTGAGGGTGCGGTCGATCCCACTGTCCATGTCACGAGTTTCACCTCTAAGAGAATGAGTGTGAGTTACTGAAATCGGTTTGATTTAAAATAAATCCCGTCTTTGCCTTCCCTAAGGTCTGCCACTGAGTTTTCTGACATTTCAGGTTTTTACATGACTTGCTGTGTATGGTATACAAGCCATAGATTGCCTCTCCACATACCCTGGCTGCTGTGAAGCTGAACTCTCTTTCACTACGGATAGTTCGCTTCTCTCACAGGGCTACTTGCTTGTTTTCTTCCAGATGAGCTGATTGCTTTCTTACAGAAGGTTGCGTCCGAAGCCCCCGCGGTTCCATTTTATTACTATCACATTCCTCCTCTGACGGGTGTGAAGAGTAAGTACTGCTTAGTCAGCTCCTGCTGAGCCCGTAGGCTCCTAGCAACCTGCGTAATCGCAGTGGCTGGTGGAAGTCGTCTGCCAGCCTAGACCAGGTGTGTGGCCTCTGCTCCCGTCACTGCAAGCTGTAGTGGAAAGGATCCTTTCTGAAAATGGGAGGTGAATCCAAGGCTGGAAAACAAACTGAATTCCTCTTCATTGGAAAAAAGTCACAGCTTGTGAGTACTGAACAGCTGGGACGGAGGAGGGGATGCTGACCCTGGCTTTGCAGTTAGCGTGGGCCAGGATAGGTGATCGCCTTGGATAACCATAGTTGAATGCTGTTCATGTTTGCTAATAGATTAGGTGTGAAACCACAGTGCTTCTCAAGTCCTATTATTTAGCAGAGGAATGAGGAATAGAATACAGAGCTTCGGTTACTTGCTCTAGACAGCAGGTTATGTGGTGGTTCTGGATGTATGAATTGATACTTACTTTTAAATACGCTATTGCCAGTTCACTCCGAAACTTCTCCAGGGTTTTTCCTGTCTGATCTGGTAAAAGTAATGCTTCAAAGAGGGCGGAAAGAGGTCTTTTGTATAAGTCTGGGAAATATTCACACCAAAGTTGTCTTACTGGTTGTTGTAAAGCTATATAGTTTACTAGGCCTAAGCCGCAAGTGAACAACTTGTAAAATAGCAAGTCTCCCTCTTGGAGGCAAGACAGGGAAATCTCCCAGAACAGGGGTGTGTTTCTTCATACGAGGTTGCTGTTCTGCGCAGTTCGTGTGGAAGAGTTGCTGGATGGAATAAAAGAGCAGATCCCCACCTTCCAGGGCGTGAAGTTCAGCGACACGGACCTCCTGGACCTTGCACAGTGTATAAACAAGAATGAGAGAGAGCAGCTTGCATTTCTTTATGGGGTGGATGAGGTAAGAGCCTCCTCTTAAAAATTATTTTTTCCATGACATTCTCTTCCTTCAGCCTTGGGGAGAAAAGGTAACCCTGGACATTCAGTGCTCCCTCCCACCACCCCTCTTTTTTTCTTTTATCTTGTTATGTGAAGTAAAAATCTTGTTTTTCTTCCCCCACCCCAAACTAGCAACTGTTGAGTGCGCTGGCAGTAGGGGCAGATGGAGCAGTTGGAAGGTCAGTACGGCTTGGACTCCTTCCCCTCGACAGACACACCTTACCGTTACGTGTTCCACTATCTACACAGTATTTCTCTAGCTGTCTTCTGTCACAGCGGTGGAGGATGTTGCAGGGTAAGGCTGTACCGCAGCAAGCAGACAGACGAGCTAACGCCAGTGCTAGCAACGCGACAGTCATATAATCTGTTGTTTTGGAGTATGCTAGTTCAGGTGATTATTGCTGCAGTCTGTCAGCGGACCCAAAGGTTTCAACAAATTTCTTCATCCGCATGGCAACTTTTTGAAGTAGGGAATCATTTTTATCTTTATTATATGGGTAAGGAACCAAAACCCAGAGAGGTTAAAATAATTTACCTTAGTTCACATGAGAAGTCTGTAAGGAAAAGGGCCCTGCTGAGTTTTATTTCTGATTTGTCTTCTGCCCCTCATACCAGGCTGCTTAGATGAATTACTGTGTGATATCTGCCTTCTGAGCAGATGATCCATTGAATGAACAAGCAACTTGAAAATTAAGTGATTGACTTTCTGTGTTGTCTAACTGGTTCTTCTTATTTTTAACTTTGAAAAGCATTTCCATTTGGAAAGAATTAGGAAGAGAAATCTGCTCTCTAAACTCTTCCATAGTTTAGACATAGTTTAGATGCGTGACAGTATAAACCACACATAGATTGCATGAATCTCTATCATCATCATCATGGCATTCTTACAGTGTCAACAGAGAAAGCCTGTGGCTACCTCTTTTGTTTCAGAGGTTCTAAGCTCCCCCTTTGCATTTAGTGATTTTATTTTTGGTTTGGGTTTTTTTTGGCAGTACATACAACTATTTGGGGCAAAAAACCAATCTGATGTTGGAAGCCTTTGCAAAGCTGGACCTTCCATTAGCACAGAAGTATCAGGTACAGTGTCTTTACTGTCCCCCCTAGGAGCAGCCTTCTTTCTTCTCTGGCTTTACTGGAGCTGTTTTCCATCTGGTGTTGTCATCCATGCCCTGAGGTAGCTTTATTAAAGCAGACTTCTTTCAGCTCCAACCTAACTTGTTATTCATCTCTCCTCACCTTTTTGACCAGTCCTGACTAACTTTTAACCAAGGTCTGCCTTACTCACCCTTCAGCTCTCTAATCTCATCTACACAGAGGGAGCAATGGGCTGACCTTTTTCCTTGAACAAGCCCGCAATGGCCAAGCCCCTTGGCTGGGCATGTTCTGGTGATACCTGTCCCAAAGCAGCTCTGCCTTGACCTCTCTTGGTCTTGGGCAGCTTGAAAATGTTTTCAAGGGATGTTTGAAGCATCCTTCTTTTGCCTTAAAATAGAAGTGACTGCAGGCTGAAAGTCTGAAAGGCGTCTGAAAGATGGTCTGCTCGGGAAATCTCTGCACTAGGCAGTGGATATTCAGATTTGTAAACCTTTAGAGATGATGTGAGACTTACCAGTGTTCTCAGACTGCTTGCAGTGAGGGACAGCTTGAACAGGAGTGACAGACTGGGAGGCAGTGATGGCTTTCTCACATCCCTCCCTCCCTCCCCTGTTCCAGTGGAATTCAACTAGTATTTCCCATAGGCTGGCCAGGTGGCCAAGAGCTTTTCTCAAAGCTGTGCAACAATTGTAGAAGATGTGAATATCGTAGTAGCTCTAGATGCTTTGTCATCTTAAACTCTGAAGGAGTTAATAAACTGCTGTCTGTGTTTTCTAGTTTCTCACTGGGGAATTTCTCAACTTTGTCATCAAACTAGGTAAGTTCTACACTGCCGGTGTCCCTCGTTATATCTGAAAATGCAGACTCGGTGTGCCAGAAACTCTCGTGTTGCTGTACCCTCAGAACTTCCTTCCGGAAATATTTCCCAGTGAGAAAATGTTGCGTGTGCCATTTGCCGAGTTCGCAGCAGCTGGGAGCTCAAGGAAGGGAGCTGACCAAGCATCCCCGACAGATACCACCCTCACTTCCTTCCTTCCTCTGTGAAATATCACAGCTTTAAATCTGTGGCCCTGTGATTTAACTTTTTTTCTTAGCCTGACTCCTTCTGTGGGTTGCTTTTTTTTTTCTGTCTCCGAAAGCTCATTTCTAGCTTTGTTTCTGGAGAGTCATTTTTCTGAAATGGTCGTGCTCCAGTAGGAAACCACCTCTGATACTTGTCTCTCCTGCCTTGCTATCATTTATGAGTAACTCTGTCCAAGGCTGTGCAAGGCCAAAGCATTTTAAAATGGAATCATTTTCAGAAACAAACCCAAGTTTTAGTATAAAAAGCAATTAAAACCAACCAAGTCAGAGTAGTGTAGGGAGACTGAATCGGACATTTCATGGTTTTCACTTAATGAAGAGAACTGCTCATTGGGTTTTTGCTCTAGATACGCATGCCCCAATGAATCTAGCTGAGCTTTAGAGCTTGGCTGTATTTCTTGGAGTAAAAGTCAGAGGAAATGCATCATTGTTTAGCCTTATAGATGGAGGCAAACACTGAATTTCCAGAGGTGCTTAAGGAGACTTGAGCTATGGACAGAGAGGCCTCCTGAAGTTTCCCATGGTGGTTTAAGCTGGTACCCAATGTCATCGTCACACATCAGCAGGACATTGCTGCTCCTGGGGCTTGCTTTGTTGTGAATCTGCACCAGGGGATAACCATGAGGCTGCAAACACCGGGCTGCTGGGATGGCTCAGCCTACCCCTGAAGGTCAGTTTGAAGTAGCCCTGTTTTTGCGTGGAGGACTCTCACTGTCTTTTCCGTGTCGGGGCTGCCCAGCAGTACGTTTTGGCAAGGAGAAAGGACCACACGTACAGCCCTGGTTGCCTGTAATACTGACGCAGTAGTTTGCAAAGTGCATGTCTAAAAAAATACTCTACTTCGTATCTTTATGAGGGAAACAATAATGGTGTAATAGATAAATAAATGTAGCAAGTAGACGTAATTTTTACTGTAATGTCTCCTGTCTGCAGGCACGGTCACCTCTTAGTTCCACTGTTCTCCCTTCCGAGAAGTGCTTCATGCCGGATTAGACAGGAACTCTGGAGCCGCTGCGTTTTTTAACACCTGTATAGAGACTGCTTTAAGCAACACAATGCAGAAATGACCCGGTTTTGCTTTTGTCCCCCCAGGTTTTGGTGTTGCCCAGAGTAAAGCTGTCATGACTTTCGTTTCTGGCATTCCCATGGGACCTCCACGGCTTCCGCTTGCCGACGCCTCCGCGGAGTTCATCGCCCAGGCCAAAGCCAAGCTGGAGAGCATTGCGTGGCCAGATGGCGACTGACGCTCGCTTCCCTGTCGAGGCGGAATCGGCGGCTCCTTTCCTGGGACCTGCTGTCGTGCGTTCCCCGCGGGACAGGCCGCTGCGTCGCTGGGGGAGCCG